TATAACCCTGCAGGGACACTAATGTGTTTCCCTTCCAAGTGGTTACAAATATTGATGATCTCTAGCCTGACCCTCCCCCCCCCAGGCAAAGCAAACTCTTGGTAAATAACTAAAGATGTCAGCTCCTTGTTACTCTACTCTGAAATTCCAAGGACTGTTTTCATGTCCAATGTGCATGCATTTGGTAAACTTTTAAAACCCTGAGTTGCTAGACATAATGGTCTGCAAGTGAAAGACAGATACACTGAGCATCATGAACTCTTTGATTGGGAGACTGAATTTTACAGGGAAGAAAGTTTCCAAAAAGTATAAATGGGTGGAAGAGCACATGTATTTTCCTTTAAAATTAGAACTGTGGGGTGTTTAAGACTCACAACTGTACCACTAAAAAAAAGATACTCCTTTTTTTTTTTTCTCCTCAGTTCAGAACTAAGCCGTCTTTTAACTGCTGTTTAACTGTTAGAACATGAGGGCATGATTTCGAAGAAGGGAGAGTTTGACTAGCCTATGAATGTCTGCAGGTGGTTATTTTCGTGAGACTAGGGCTGGGCTCTAATAATGTTTTAGTAAATAAATGTTGCTGAAAAATTTAAGTAAACAAAGTTCAGGCATACTGAACTTTAGAATTGTTTGTAGCAAAAATGGCTCAGATAGCTTTCTATCTGGTCATGGTGTGATTTGCCCAGCCCTAATCAAGATTAAACAATAACACAACTGTACGGACCAGTATAGTAATAAATTGATTTTAGTTGATAAATGTCAACTGATAACTTGTCTTTTGAAATGTATAACATTAGTAAGCTTACTTTTTTTTCTCCTCACTGTGCAACTTTTCCAGGTTTGGACCTTATGAGTCTTACGACTCCGGGTCTTCTCTGGGTGGGCGAGATCTGTACAGATCTGGCTATGGTTATAATGAACCCGAACAAAGCCGCTTCGGAGGTAGTTATGGTGGTCGCTTTGACAACTCCTACCGGAATAGCCTTGACTCTTTCGGAGGTAGAAACCAGGGCGGGTCTAGCTGGGAAGCACCTTACTCCCGTTCAAAATTGAGGCCTGGGTTTATGGAGGACAGAGGAAGAGAGAGTTACTCTTCCTACAGCAGTTTTTCTTCACCCCATATGAAGCCTGCACCTGTAGGCTCTCGGGGGAGAGGAACGCCTGCTTATCCTGAAAGTGGATTTGGAAGCAGAAACTATGATGCTTTTGGAGGACCATCAACAGGCAGAGGCCGAGGCCGAGGAGTAAGTACAGAATCTTTTCAGATTCTTTTCACTAGACACTCTTTTAAACCCTTTCAAGACCGCTGCTTTAAAATGAATGCACTGTTCAGTACAGTGTGGGGTTTTTGTCTAAGCAAACTTTCATGGTTGACGATGTTGTTTACCCCCTTGAAGCTGTCTTCAAGTAGAACCCAGTCCCTCTTTCTGTTGAAAGTAATGAGTAATAGAAGACTAGTTGATAAGGTTTGTTAAATCTCTCCTTTTGTTTGAAAGGTGAAGATAAAAGTAATAGGTTTGGTCTAAAAGGGATTAAAAGGACTTGCATTTTTCCTTGTAAACGCTAGCATCTTTGCTGCTGGTGGGGAAATCCTTGAACACTGTAAAAGTTTATTCAAAATCTTTTGAAGTTTTGAGTAGGTTAAAGGTGCAATGTATAAACAAAATATAAAACCTAGGTTGTGAGTGCTAGAGTAGTTTTTGTTTCCTGTAAAGGTAAACGTTTAGCTAATTCTTTAATGTGTTGAACACATACTTTATCAAACATCAAGTCTTCTTTTAAACTTAATTCTTACTCTGACTTGTGTATTGGAAGGGTGATGAGGAAGAAATTACAAAGGTGGGTGGTTAGCAGTTAGAGTGATTCTTTTTTCAAAATTAAAACATGGTTAAAGGGACATCATCAACTTGAAACCAGATCCTTTCACAGAATTGAGATAACTTTCAGGTAGTGTGCCTAGTCCTGTTACTTGTATTAATTATGTTTTGAAAACTTATGTTCTAACTATTTCAGTGGATTCCTTTCCAGTGTAGGATGTAAAAACTGTATGTCCAAGAAGCAGCAGGATTAACTGTACACAAAATAGTGGATTACGGTTTGAAGGAGTAATGCTTGATGTTAAATGAGCTGGGAGGAGGGGGCGGGGGGTCGGAATGTAAGAGAATAAAAAAAGATCCTGACAGAAGTACTAACTTTAAGTTGATGGTGTCCCTTTATCTTGGTTTTATAATCCCAATTCTGATAATGTTTTTTTTAAGTATGAGAGTTCAGTGAACGCTTTTCTGCCTGTGCCTCTAGGTGTAACTTACCTTTTAAAGTTCTTAAGCGTGCCATATTTCTTTGGGAAGCAATTCTTTAATATGAAACCATACAACTTGTTTGTAGCTTGAAGTGTAGAAGAAGTTACTGGGTCTTTTAAATGCCTAATTGTGTGATGGTTTTGTTCCAGAAACTTTGCAGCTTTCTTGACTACTGTAGTTACAATATTCAAATTTTAGCTAAGATTTGCACATGGCTGCTAGCTAGCTGTAGCATGGTATGAGAAATAGATTCTAATCTTTGTGTTTCTCTGCTTGTGAAGCTGAAAGTGTTAGGTTCTTAAGCTTGGATGCCATCCTTTCAGAACTTACTTAGATCTGAAAGTTTTATGCAGAGTTACAACCAGGTAGCTTATTTCTTTTTCATTTTGCTTTTGAAATTTATTTTTTACACAATAAAGGAGAGTGTAAAGGCTAAACTACTTACCATATGTAAAATGCATTGCACCTTTAATAGATAGATTGTCTGTTTAAAAAAAAAAAAAAGTACTTGAAATTATCCAAGTGCATACTTGGATATGTGTAAAATTTGTCTGTGTACAGTGTAAATGTACATACTAGCTAGTTCTATAATTACCTCAACAAAATAAATTAACATGGAGATCTTGTGCATGGACTTCTCATTAAGAAAAGTGCCTGTTTTGGTACATTCTATCTGATACTTAAAATTTGCTTAAAAAAGGGTCATACTTTTCACAAAATATGTTGAAGTTATTTTTATTCTTTTGACTTTGGTAGTGTAATACTAATTCTCTTCTCATGGCAATATAAATATTTCTGCTTATCCAAGTCACCCCAGTCAGTGGGCTCTTTTCTGCCCTTTATGAATCAAATTATCGAGTTAAGGAGTATTTTGAAAATATTGCTGCTACCTAAATTCTCCCTCTTCAGATTACTCATTTATCCCATGCCTTCAGTGAGGTAACTTCCATAAACCAGTGTCTACTAGTGATTATACAGCATTTTAGAAATAACAGAAAGGTTTAGTCTTTCAACTGAATTTTTATTCCTGTTGCTGTCATGGTTTTCTATCCCTCCAGGCCCTACTTTTAAATTGTGAATTTATTTAATTCAGTGGAAAGATAAGTAAAAGAAAGAGCTTCCTTCAATTAATTGCTGTTAAAACTGGGAAACCTTTACTCATTTTTCAAATTCCCACTAATCATTTGGCCTAAAGAAGCGCTTTTTTTTAGCTTGGTTTTTTTTTTTTTTTTTTTAAATGACTGCTGGCTGAAGTGTGGAAAGCTGGATTGGTTAGCTCTGTTTTTTACCCAGAGGGAAAAGTTATTCCTTATCTAGAGAATCTGAAGAGAGGAGCCGAGATGTTAGGATGAGACATGAACTCTGATACTTGTTAATTGTCTGGACAATGGTTCTGAATAAGCAGAAACACAGTTTATACATACATGTTCATTCTACTAGACAAACACTTACAAAGCCATTGCACAACACAACATCAAACCAGGAGCTTAAATTTCCCCTGCATTTTGCTCTAGAATGCAGATTTTACTTAGTTCACAGTTTTATTGTACCAAATAATTGTTTTATTTCTATTGATTTCATATACTAATACCTTTTTCTTGATTTCACAAATTTGCAGCATATGGGAGACTTTGGAGGAATGCACAGACCTGGAATTGTTGTTGACTATCATAACAAACCCAGTCCTGCAGCAGTTGCTGCAAGAGGAATAAAAAGAAAAATGATACCACAGCCATATAACAAACCTGGTGGAACGTTTATCAAGAAACCCAAAATGACAAAACCTATTTTGAAGCTGAGCCAGAAAAAATCACCTAGTAAGTAATAGTGCCAAAATTCTTAAGTTAAAATTACTATTAGGAATTACTTGGTTTTAGTATTCAGAAAGAGTATGCGTTGTTTTGTAATTCTTCATTTTCTGCCTTTGAAGTGCTCCACAACAGATTTCATGAATTTACTCTTCTAAAACTTCTATTGCAAATATGTACTGCTGAAGACTATTTCATTCAGACTTTATAATGATACTTCCTGAAGGCAAATTTTCACCACTGAAAATAATTTCAGATTTCAGTTTGCCTTAAGTGAGAATGCCTGACAAACCTTAAAATGTGCCCTTGCATGAGCCTGGGCCCTGCTCTCCGAATGCCTTGACACATATAAAAAGTAGGGCATCGACTGCAATGCAGCTAAAAAAGGCGTAAGGTATGGGTGAAGAGGAGAGGGAAAGGAAGGCAAACTGAGGAAACAGTGAAAATTGTTGCAGAATAACTTACGAAAGGCAGAGAGAGATTGCTCCTTTTTGTAAATGAAATGCCATAACGAGGAGAAGGACTGGAAATATAAATTGTCATATAAATATATAAGTATTAGTGGCTCTTGGTTTGTTTAGCTTCCCTAAAGATGTCCTACATCTGTAAAAATTTTGATATTGCAGGCAAAGTTAGAGGAAAAAAAAATACTAATGAGGTTTAAATAAATTAGCTGCTTTGAGGGAATGTAAACTTGAGTATTAAATATTATGAATGTTATTAGGAGTGTTATTCCTGGACTCACCAGCTTAATTGTGATGAAATGGGTCTGTTAAATACATGTCCAAGTATATGAGTTGCATCTCAAAGCTCCGCCTCATAGCTTTTTTTTCAGTACTTTTGTAAGTTCTTCTTTTCTAAGCACTTCTAGTTTATTATCTGTTCCTTCTCACCGATTTCCACAATCCAAGGACCAATGTACTACATAATATTGAAGTTATTTTAAGAAGTGGAGTAGATAGTGCCTACTAGAATGCACTTGTAATCAACCTGTCCTGTGACCTTGAGACTGGGGTGAAGAAACTTTTTAGTGGCTTAATGCATTTTTCTGAGACTTGAACTGAAAGATGCGCTAAGCAGTATCATTTAGTTGAAAACTAAGAAGTGGGTAACAGCTAACAAAATTGGATGCAATTGCTATACTATATATGTATGAAAATATATCTCAAAACTATGTTGTCCTTTCAGTCTTGACTTTCTTGTTTTGTGGAGTTAGATAGAGGTGACTGCTGTTTAGTTTATATTCCTAAGGATAACTGATTTTTACATTTAGTATTCTTACTAAAACATAAATTGTGTATGTAGACTACTAACTGCATAACAAGCTGAATTTTTTTCTTAAATATCTTGTTGCCTTAAAATGATTTGTCAATGACAGCACTTCTGCATTATTTTTCTTCCTCATTTTATGTTTATAGACATGAAGACATCTTTCCAGGATTCTACTATAGAGGTAAAGAGATTGCCAGAATTGGAAAATGTTTGAGATTCTTTCAGAAGTTTGTACAGTATACCTTAAGATGAATAATGAAGCTAGAGTTACAGAAATTAAGCATTTAACTATATAAGTTTTTCTAAACTTTTTTTTTCCTTTAACTTTATCAAAAAATGTCCTATTGTGATGGCAGTCTGAAATCCTTACTGATTTTGAGGGAAAGATATAGCTTGTGCAGATATCCTGGAAAATGAATTTTAAAGTGTATTTGTAGACTGTACCTATTCTTGTAATGCACAGAGAGCTGTCATATGAACACTTCTCTTGTTGTCATAGGTAGTCAACTTGAATTCACACGCCTATGACCTGCTTGGGTAGGTTGAGAAGCTAATTACAAAGTGACAGGGAAATTACTAAACAGCAGTGAAGAAGAATGGATAAGACGTAAGACACATCAAGGCGAGAGGCAAAGTAAAAAAAGGACCAGTGTTAAAAGGTGTTCTCTGATAGGGTACAAAGATTAGTTCCCACCTACAGAAAGATCAGTTGTGACAGTATGTAAGAATGTGATTAGTAAGCTAAGCACGTGTAGATATCCTGATTCCATGTGGAAACACTGGAATGATACTTTCCTTCTCTTTGAGTGGAGGTATTAACATATTCTCAACTAAGTATTTGAAAGTCTGAGTTGGAAGTCAGAATATTTATGCAGAAGACATTGTGAATTTTGATTGTGAAACTAATTCACAAAGACTTCAAGGCATTCAGGAGAAATGCATAGCTTGAAGTGTTTGTACTGTGTCTAACTAGATACTCAATTCACTTTTCTTCCATTGTCGTATTTGATAAAAATGGCAAGAAACAGATTATTGGAAATAAAGTAATTTGCACTGTCTGTTTCTGGCTTTAGAATGGCATTGTTTTGTTTTGTTTTGTTTTTCTTATAAAATTTATGCATTTGACTTTATTAGGAGATTGAAGTGGACACAAGTGGTGCAGTTGTTATATATGAAGACTTTACAAGAGATGCTTACGATCTTGGATATCAGACTTTTGGAGGTAAGTCAGTTTGCTTTGTCAGGTAAGGTATTTTAGTTGTGGTATTTGTGTGACTTTGAGTGAGTGGATTTAGTAAGCCTGTATGTCTAACCTCTTAATAGTTATTGAGTAGCATGACTTTTTAAAGAGTTTATAAATTCAGGCTGTGAAGAAGATAATTGTTCAATATCCATCTATTACTTGTTTTGTTCTTTATGTGCTTGTTGTCTCTCTGCTTTCTGATCATCTCTGTATATTGTTGTTGTTTGACTTGTTTTAATTTTTGTGAAATTAATATAAATGGTTTTCTATACTTACTGCCGTTCCAATGCTTAAACGTTGTTTGTCCCACCAGTTCCTCAGCATGTCCTGTTATTTATCCCACTAGCCAATCAACCTCACCTTAAATCCTACGTGAGTCACTTTTATAAAAGTGGATTTAGTTAACTCAGAGAGCTGCACTCAGGAACATGGGGGCTATTTCACATGCAGCTCTCCATCATCTTCCAACAGTCCTGG